AATCAAGATTTGGCAGCTTAACTGACTGAGGCACCCAGTCCCTGTCTTATTCTATTCTATAAAGTAAAAATAATACCTACATGGTAGGCTTAAGCAGATGAAGATAACGCATATGAGGCTCTAACAGTGTGACAAACAGGAAATGCTGACTAAACACTAGTTCTACACTGCGAACCTCACTCAAATTCTCCGTACAGTGAAGACCCATCCCGTAACTGGGAAGGGAGAAACCTTTCTGCAGTGAAGGCCCGGCTTTCCAGTAAGGAGTTCAGAGTATAAAAGGAAGTAGGACTTATTTAAGCGACTTGCAGGCAATATGTCTCCAAGCTTAAAAAAAAAAAAAAAAAAAAAAGAAAAATGCTTTCAGCACGTCCTGCAGAACACATGTCTGGGAGAATGCAGACCAGTCTCCACTGGAAGGACAGCAGAACAGACCATACCAGCGACAAGAGTGAGAGCTGAACCCGAGAAGAGTGGAGGTGAAGAAGATAGCAGCTGGGCAGAAAAAAATGGATGGGGAAGACCCAGAGGAAGAACTATTTGCAATCGTAACTCACTGATAAGACCAGTTAATATTCCAACTAGAGTCTTAGATGAAAAGCATCTTCCATTGTGGTTGTGTACTCATTTTTTCATTTCTCAACAAATGCTTTCAGTAAACCTAGATTATCTGTACGTGATAAATATTTATGGAGCACCTGCTAAGTACCAGGTATACTGCGGCAAAAACAAAACAAACCATGGCCTCTGACCTTCTCCAATAACTAAGTTATCATCGCAGATGACAAAGGCCCTGAGGAAAAGATCACAAGGTCAGGAGACTGTTTTTTAAGGAGGTACTCAAGAAGAGGGGAGGGAACAAGCAGAAGGAAGGGCTATGGACATGGAGAAGTGGGCTACGCTCAAGGTAACACAAGATGAGTGTGGACAACCGGCAGTGGGCACGGAGAGCAGCCAGAAATGGGAAGACATAGGTCACATCAAGGGGCTTAGATTTTATTAAGAACCAACCCAAGAGTTCTGAGAAAACTGCTATAGCTGTTTTTGAAGATCAGTCTCCTGTGCACAGAGAAATGTACTACCTGGGTAGGGACAAAAGGGGAACCAATGAGGAAGGGACTGCAGTAACAAAGGGATGGTGCGATGGAAGGAGACGAGTACACTCTCCCACCTTCCCAACCTTCTAGTACCACCTCTTTATACTTACTGTACTTCATTCATGAAGCAGCTGTTCCAAAACAGTTCTCTGACAGTCATTTCAAAGCTATTAAATTAGTATCAAATCTCAAAATATCAAGTCATTCTGTCCTGCCAATAAATATCCAGCAATGTTTTTTAATAAAAATGGAAACCTGAAAATGTAAAATCATGGAAAAATTTTGGTCTTTTCCCAAATTTCAATCATAATTTTTATAATCTATCTTACCTTATTTTATAAATATGGGAATAAAACTAAACAATTTATAAAACTATGTTTTCTTTTCTTTTTTTTTTAAATTTTTAATTTTTATTTATTTATGATAGTCCCAGAGAGAGAGAGAGAGAGAGAGAGAGAGAGGCAGAGACACAGGCAGAGGGAGAAGCAGGCTCCATGCACCGGGAGCCCGACGTGGGATTCGATCCCGGGTCTCCAGGATCGCGCCCTGGGCCAAAGGCAGGCGCCAAACCGCTGCGCCACCCAGGGATCCCTATGTTTTCTTTTATAACTACAAAAGTCTCTGGTGTTGGATAAAAATTAGAAAATGAAGGAAAAGACAATTTCCCAATTGAGAATAGCAAATTATAATGATGTTTAACAAAATCACCTCTACAAAAAGTTAAGTCCCTTATCCTCAGGACTAGAAAGGTACTGCACTGATCCTTGCCTTATACTCGGGTCCCCAAGATCTTATAATCCATCTTCTCTGGACATCCATTTAATAGATGTTTACTGAGTGCCAACCATGCATGAGTTACTTTTGTGTAAAGTCCTTTTCTCCATTAGCAGAGAATAAAGTTGTAGGTGTAACCATCTCCCCACCTGTGGGGATCTGACTAGAAGAAGAACCCCCGGAGCTCCTCAGATCCATCAAGTTTTCTCCCTACCGTCCACCACAGCACCATCAGCAAAACCAGGAGAGCAAGGGCAATGATCTGCACCAGGCAGAAATGGCTACCTTGAAGGAAAGACTCTAAGTCCTTACACAATGCTCACCTGTCGACAAAAGGAAAAGAAACAATAGGAAAGCTAGTCTTTCAATGCACTAGAGATACCCCAAAGGCTGACTTCATCCTGAGTGGACAATCTAATAAATGCTGTCCGACACAAAGTATAAACTTGTATCCTTCCTCACCAGGCAACTCCCCTCACTTATGCAGATAAGCAGGGCAATTCAAAAGAAATCTCCAGCGAAGTCAGTGATGAAACTGCGCATTCCTACTTCAGAAATGAGTGACAATCACAACACTAGTGACAACTGGAAAATATCTCTTCCCCCATGTGAAGAGATGTATCAACAGCACTTTGGCAATGAAGGAAAGTATAGTAAAAAGGCCTGGACACAGTGATTAGCCAAATAAGATCAGCCAAAAAAAGGTGTGCGTGAGGGGAGCTCTAATAAATATAATTAATAGTAAACTGAGTTTTCAATTTCTGCTCAATTACCTTACCAATTATTAAAAGCTTCAATTAGTAACTACTTGTGTATCTAGTATTGACCATAAGCCAACAAAGTCCATGAAGCCAGCTAGTAATAAAATCTGTCTCACAGGCCTAACTTCAAGGCAGGTATCAACCTGAGAAGCCATGCATCACTGTGTAATTGTGCTGATGCACTGCAAGGACCACTGGCTTCTCAGATAAATTCTGATTTTTGGACCAAGGACAAAATAAAAGCTATGAAACCATATGTGCTCCTTCTCATGCTCACCTTTTCTGAATAAGCTTTTCTTTTTTAAGATTTTATTTATTGGGCAGCTCAGGTGGCTCAGCAGTTTAGCGCCGCCTCCAGCCCCAGGCGTGATCCTGGAGTCCCGGAATCGAGTCCCACGTCAGGCTCCCTGCATGGAGCCTGCTTCTCCCTCTGCCTGTGTCTCTGCCTCTATCTCTCTCTCTCTAATAAAGAAATAAAATCTTAAAAAAAAAAAAAAAAGAGAGAGATTTTATTTATTTATTTGAGAGACAGAGTGCACAACCAGGGGGGCAGGGCAGGCAAAGAAAGAGGGAGAAGCAGACTGTGTGCTGAGCAGGAAGCCCGATGCAGGCCTTGACCCCAGGACCCTGGGATCATGACCTGAGCCGAAGCCAGATGCTTAACCCACTGAGCTATCCAGACACCCCTTGAATAAGCTTCCTATGACCCTGCTGAAAACCAGATTCTCTCCTGAGAAAAACACACGTGCATATTCACACTAAATGTAATGAACAATTTTAGGAGGTTAAAAAAAAAAAAATACCTTGATGCTTACGCAGGGATTTTTAGGTCAAGAATCCCCCATTACTACTAAGAACATTTCCTGAGCAAAGAACAGAGCTCTAATGGAAAGGTTTATGGGCAGGTCAGAAAAACATGAAGTGGTGGTAAATCCATGAGGAGACTCACACCCATCGTCTGAAGCCTCATGGTAGCAGCAGAGAGCATAGCTTCATCCATCTGACAAATATTCAGTGGACAAAGTTACCAACTCCACTGGGGGTGGGGTGGGGGGGCTAAGACATGGGATGGCTACCTCGAAGTAGCTCACAGTTCCTGCTCTTGTGTGGCTTCTAAAGACCACAGGAAAGACAGTTAAATATCCCGACACGTAATTACAAGCTGAGACAGGTTACTGGAATGAAGGAAATTTATTTTAGGAAAGCCTAGAACTGAAGACCTTAGCCACCACAGAGGTTTCACAAAGACTTCCCTACAGTAAGCCAGTGGTGATGGACAGTCAGTCCTAAGTGATCTCTGCAGAAACTGGGGAGGGGGTGAGGTTAACATACCTTTCAGACTCCAGACTAAGAACAACAGAAGAAAAGGTTCTGTGGTGAAGACAGAGTGGAGATGCAGAAGTCACCCTCTGAAATTATTAGGAGGATGCTGGTTCTCTTCTCAGCCTGTTCGGGACCTCCTTACACAAACACTAGCACATTCATCGTGGGGTGGCTGGGAAATGAAACTGGACAATATACGTACAGCACTTGATAAAACGTGCTAGCACAAAGAAAGTGCTCACTACATGAGTAAGATGACGAAAACTAAAGAGCAGTGAAGAGAAGCTGCACTCTAGTAAAACTGCCTGGGTGCACACTCAACCCCACAATCAATGTCAACAGTTCCTAAGGCCACCAACTACAAATTTCTAAAGCAAATTACAAGCAACTTAATTATTTCACTAATTGCTCGCTCTTCATTCTCACTAATGTAAACGTGCCGCAAAGAACTGTATTTAGATATAGTATAAATACATGTTATCTCTACCTAAAGACTAAAATATACTTTACCACTGAGATTTTTTAAGCAAAACTACAACTTACTGATAAATTTTGGAAAATACTTGAGTTCTTACAAAATAATTATTATGTTTTCTGAATAGAATGCTCTTCAAAATTGACTGTTCCTCAACTTCAGTTTTAACATCTATTATTTAAATAAAAGGCAAACAGCTATTTAAAAACTGTTCTTTACAAAATTTAACAAACTTGGAAAATAGTTTCAGATTTAGTCTTATTTAACAAGCTGAGGTATACTCCAAACAGAAAACCTTTGTATTTTCACTCTGCTTCTAGGCAAAGTGTTACAGGCATCCTCAGTCACGGAGAATCTTTCCCTTACATAGAAGAATGCTAATATTCAAGGAAAAAGGGAAATATACTCTTTTTCCAATATACGCTCTCAGATATACCACTTGAGTACGCAGCACATATTTCCAAAGTTTAAGTATCTAGAATACACCTCCTGGCCTGAGATTTCTGAACAGATAAGAACTGAGAAAACAGGACGTGTGGTGACTCTAGTGCTGCAGAAATGCCACATTACCTGGAAAACTAGTCTTCATTACATCAATTCCAACTTGTAGCTCAGGCTCCGCAGCAAGCACAGCATAGTCCCCTTGATGAGAGACGTTAAAGTTGAAATTGGGGTAGGGATTCAAGGAGTCTTTTGCAAGAACTGGTTTTCCCTTTGCAGTTCTCTGCAAACGAATATTATTCCAAGGGATATTCAATTTCTCTGCAACTAATTTCCTTATCATCAGACGACCAGCCTGTTAAGTAAGTAAGTAAAACATGTGGTATGGATTGATGTCTATTCAAGATTCAGGTACCCTGCCTGTAATACGCAAAGTCTATTTTTGCGGTTTCTAAAGAAAAAAAAAATCATTTTTAAGTGTTTAAAAGTACAGAAGCACTAAACACGCTGCACTAAGATTTAAGTAATGCTTAAGAAGGTAGAAGAAACAGTTCAAGTCCCCTCTGGCAATTTCCTCCTCTCAACAAGTCACCAACGTTAACAATTCTGCATCCTTCTGGTCTTTTCTTCAAGCATCTAAACATGTGTTTATTTAGAAATGCTTCTTTTTCCCCACGTAGATACATACCCGAGATCCTACTACATGGAGTACTGCACCGCGCCTAAGCTTCATCAAAGTGTTGGGGACTATTTTATGTCTGTACATGTGGGTCAGGTAGGTGCCCTTTTAACCGTAGCATACTATTTCATAATACCAGGATGCTCCTCCTGATGGGCGATTCCCCTATCACCGAATATTTAGGCTGGCTCTAGTTTAGCTGTTTTAAGAAATGTCAGAGAACAGCCCTGTTGTAGCCACATCTTTGTGCATATGCCCGAGTATTTCTAGATCCTACATACCCATCACTCAGCATCAGTCATTAGCAATGCATGACTCGTTTCACACGGACTCCTTCCATTGTCACTAAAACATTACACAAACGTGCCCAAGGGTGTCAAATGACAAAGCCCATGATCTTTTGTAAAAGATCCTTCAAGTATTTCTCCCTTCCACTGTAGGCCCGCCTTCCCCAGTGGCTTCCCGGGCGCTCAGAGGCCGACGGAGGCCTCCCCCAGCGACCCCAGCCGCCCGCTCCGCCCCCGGGCCCCGTCGGGCGCCGCCCCGCCCCGAGGGCCCGCCGGCCCGCCTCGCCGCACAAAGGGCGCCGCAGGGGGCCCGCCCCCCCCCCCGACCCCGGCCCAGGCCCCGGCCGCGGCCCCGGCCCTCCGCACCCCTCCGCTCCAGTACCATGGCTGCCTTGGCGTCCCGGGCAAAGACGAACTGGCCAATGCGCTCCTTCTCCTCGGGCTGGATGGACCGCACGGCCAGCAGCCATTCTGCGCGGCTCGGCAGCCAGGTGCCGCACGAAAAGGCCCAGCGCACGCCCTCCATGGCCGGCACCGAGCGGGACCGCGGCGCGGGTCACACCACGGCCGACAGAGGACCTCGCCGCCACCCCCTCGCCGATGGCGCGGACGCCGGCGTGACCCCGCCCCCTTCGCGGCGTCGGGGCGGGGGGCGGGGCAGACGGCGACGTGCTTGACGCCCGCCCACCGGGCGCGCTCGCGCTTCTAGGAGCGAGCGGCTAGGGGCGGAGACGGAGGCCGCCTCTGCGCTCGGCGCTCTGCGGCAGCGCGTGACGTCACGGGGGCGGGGCCCGAGCGGGCGAGGGGCGGGACCAAGGCCCGGAGCTCCGGAGTTACGCCAGTTACACTCGAAGAAACGCTGACGGGACAGCGGTTCGGGCCAATCGCAGTGGGGCCTGCGGAGGCCGCGAGCCTAGGGTGGAGACTTCGGAGACTGCAGTTGCAGGTGGGTGAGCTCCGGGGTCCGAGGGAGGAGTGGGGCGGCCGCGCCTGGTGCTGGGGGGCCCGCGGAGGAGGGGACCCCCGGGGCTGCGGCTTGTCCCTGTGCGGGTGCGGGGAGGGCGCCGCCCGGGGGGCGGAGGGGCGTCCTCACACGGCTCAGCAGCCGGCCTCGGTGGTCCCCCCCGGGCCTGACCTGGGGCCGTGCGGGTGCGATGCAGGGCGGGGGGGGGCGGGCGGGGGCGGCTGCAGGGGACCCTCGGGGCGGAGCGGCGCACGCACACGGCTCAGCCCGCCTCTGTGCTTCCCCGGCTTGACCCGGGGCCGTGCGAGTGCGCTCCTGGGTGGCTGCTCTGGGGGCCCGTGGTGACCTCAGCCCCTGCGGGTTTGGCCTGTGCAAAGAGCTGCAAATGCTCCGCTTTGCGGTGGATGGAGCGCGGTCCGCTGGGGTGGAACCCAGGGCCAGCCGTGGTCACTAGCACAGTGACCTAGGGATCATTTCCACGTTCTTGAAGATGGCTTCGCCATCTGTTGTTACGAGTGTCTTGTTCTGTTAACTTTTCCCGACACCACAAGCCCCTTCCAGTCCTTTGCAGGCTCGGTGGGATTTTGAACCCACAACACACACAGATCCCCAAAGGGATGTAACATAAATCAGTGCCTGGACAGATGTGCTTGGGTGATGCTAACCGAAAGCCTGTGTCAGAAGTCGGTGTGAGATCTGCTTACCACCTGCAGAGAGCTTACAGTCTGGCAAGGCAGACAGAGCATGCACCAAAACCCCGCAGTAAGTGAACATGTGCAGGTACTACAGGGCATGTGCTAACACTTCTATCACCCGTGATCACAACTCCGGATCACATCACTGCGTGTATGTGAGCATCTGTAATAACTTCTCCCTTCTTGTCCTTTTGAGCTGATTTTGATGATTTCACTCTATTTTCTGTTCCTAAAATTCTTCTAGGTACATGATCACATGTTCTAAGGTGCTGTAGTAATTATTGTTAACTGATGGAGAATCTGAGATCAGAAAGAGAAATTCGTGGAATTATTTCAGCTCAGGTTCAGGAACTAATTCATAGTTCCTTTTTATCATTGACCTAATCTCTGTATTCTTCTTTGAAGCCTTACACATTTAGTATAGGAACAGATAATGTAGTGCTTAATCCTACTTGTTCTCTCTGCCTAGAATATTCTCTTCCGTCATCACATTTCTTGTTCCTCTGTGTCATTCAGGTCTTGGCTCAAATGTCATACCTAGGAGAATGTCTCTATGACAAATCAAAGAAGCTCTCTCCCCACTCCCTTCCCCATCCCCAAGCCTGCTACTGTAGTGGACATTCTTTTTAGGTTTCTTTAATGGAATCCTCTTCCCTGTCTACTTTGTAAATTCTTACTCGTCGTCCTTCAAGGCTTAAGGAAAACCCGACTTTTTCTTAAGGACTACCCCAGAGTATGTTTGTTTCTTTTTTAAGTATTCTCTATTTAATTCATTTGGCGACTGTTCTTGTACTGCCTTATGACATCTGTTATCCTGAATTTATATGTGTATCTAGCAAATTAGAATATAAACTATTTGAGAGGGAATTTAATGCATACCTTACCTTTTACAAATAAAATATACATAAGTATACTTAAGTAACCATTTTTGATGAACTGTTACAATAGATTTTACTCCTTCTGTAAGCTAACATAAGTATTTATATTCTGTCTACTTTTATTTCCCTCATTTTTAAGGAAATATAAAGTGTGCCTAACTATATTCAGTAAGCACAAACATTTTACCAGGATATTTTTATTGCATTGGTCAGGGGAAAAACTTTTAGGGGTTCAGCAAGTTTGTGAGTGATAGTCATCTTGCCAGATCCTGGTCTATTGCTTCTTAGTGGGATTCTGAGAAACTTGTGTTCTTTTTCCAGTTCTACTACCAGTTATCTGTGACTGGGTAAATCACATAACCTCTCCCTGGTACCAATTTCAGTGGAAAAGCATCAAATGAAATTCTAAGTTTCCTTGATTTGTAGGAGAAATAATGCTCATTAGGTTTTTATTGGGTCACAACTTAAACTTTATTCTTTTGCAAAGCTGAATGTTTCAAGATTTTATAAATAATTCTGTAATTCTACCAGTTACTTTAAAAAAAGACTTTAATACCTCTTTTCCCTCAACTTGCTTATCCAATCCATTCTCCGTTCTATTGGTTCTGCTTCTAAACAGCTAAAATCCATCTATTTCTATCTCCATTGTTAACACTCTGGTCTAAACCACCATCTTGTCTCACCTGCAATAGTGATTCATCTTCTAGCCTGCAGAAGGGGGAGGGGAGCATTGTTTTCCTGTGTCTTCCCTGCCTTTAGCACTCCTGAAGCAGTCTGTCTTCAGGGCCAAGTCTCCAAGTCTGTGCCCTTAATCACTGCACTGTATGGGCTTCTAACTGGACTGGGTAGGAGAAGCCAGGAATCCTGAAGAGTGTGGTGCCACAGAAACTAGAGATGCATGTTTCAAGAGGCAGGGACTAGTTAGCAACAAGAGTACTCCTGAGAAGTTAACTAGAAAGTGGAGAGAGAAGTTAGCATTAGACACCCATAAGAAAGGGCAGCGTGGTGACACTGACTCAGCAGGCTGTAGGGTGAGAGAGGACTGGATGGTAGTGGGCTCAGATGGCAACTGGACATAAAGCTACTACAGACTTTCTGGGTTGGGGAGTGGAAAAACAGGATGGCAACTAGAGGGTGATGAACGTTCAAAGGACAGATTTTTGTTTTATATTTAAAGGTGGCAGATACTAAGATCTGTCTGCTGATGGAATCTGTCCAGTCAAGTGGGAGAATGTGTTGATGCAGGAGAGGAGGTAGTTGTGGGTGTGTGTGTGCACATTACTCTAAAGTGTGTTCCAGAGTGGAGGACCCTGTCTCCATTGTTTTTGGCTGTCTGCCCATATCTAGAATAGGGCTCGCCAAAATAACAGCTACTCTATAAACTTTCTAATATTTGCTGAATAAATGAATAACTTGGACTCTACCTTATTTTAATTAATTCTTCACACATCAGCCAGAAAGATATTAAAAAAAAAAAATCATGTCACTATCCAGTTCAAAGTCTTCTGTGCTTGCAGCTGCAATTAGACTGGAATTGCAGCCCTGTGTGGCCTACTGGATCCTGCTTCTGTAGCCCTTCCTCCCTGACCTTCTCACTCTCCTTAACTGAATTCCAGTGATGCTGGCCACCTTTCCTGTCCCAAAGGAAGGACTCCTTCCCACTTTAGGGCTTTATACATGATTTCTCCCACCAACATCTTACCTCGTCATCATTCAGGTGTCCACTTCAATGACAGCTTCTCAGGAAGATGCTCCCTAATATTGAAGTGGACAAGAGCAAAAGCTCTAGAGCCCCACCATCTGGGTCCAGGTCCCTGCCTACCTGTTTTATGACCTGGAACAAATGACTTGACACCTCAAAACCCCATTTCTCCTTCCCATGAAGTGCGAACAGTAGCAATGTCTATTTTACACACTTCTTTTGAAGATTAAAGAGTGAAGCGTGCAGTACAAACTAAGCCTTATGAGAGTATTACCACTGTTACTCCCTGAAAGTGACTATCACCCATTATTCATTTCTGTTCCCATTTCCCAGCAGTCTCTTCACAATGTTTGTAACGATGTAACAATGTATAATTTGTCAGTCTACCTTGCTAGATGGGAACCACCAGGAAAGCAAGGAACAGGAAGGACAGCATCTCTCCTCCATGCTTTCCTAATTCCAAACCTGGCATACAGTTAGCAGTCTGTAATAAATGTTAAAGAGAAAAGGCCAGAAATCCTGCTCTATTTTGAAACTCCAGTGATCAAACTCAGATCAACTGGAAGGCCTGTTGGGATCAAAGCGCAAACCACTCAGTGCAGCTTTGGTTGAAGACTCCACTCTCGTCAAGTGGCACATGCTTTTTTTGTCATCACTTCGTATCAATTTTGTCAGACTTGATTGTTGTACTTTTGTTGATTCAATTATTTAAATCAAATTTTAATGGAAGACATTAAAAGAAAGAACAAAATAGTTTTACAAATTGAATCAATGTTTTGAGCATGAAGGAGTTTTGTTGAAGCTGAGATGCAGTCTTATAAAATACACCATTATTTTATGTGCTACGAAGAAAGGAAACCATGCTGTTTTTAACTGCAACACAACTCCTTACCAGTTGGCATTTTTCATACTTCTGGAAAGCCCTTTAAAAAATCCACGTATCACCCTCGTACACACATAGAAAGAAAAACATAAGCAAAATTAACTGAGATGCTCTTAAACTTTTTCATATTCAGAGTCCAGTGCTTCCAATTCACTTTTAACCCAGAATCTAAATGTCCATGTTTTTCTGCATAATATCGTTCTCTGTTACCAAGAACATTAGTGATACATCATTTCTTAAGTGAGTATCCATTATCTCCAGGGCTATCTTTCAAGACACAGATACCTATCATCACATTTTGGTGCACATTTTGATGCATGTAGTTACAAATCTGTCATATTGCTACCTGGCCAAAAGCAATTAAAAGATACTTGAAATGTGTCTTAGAATTAGAGAAAGACTGAGGTTGCAGAATATTTGAAGAAAAAAATTGCCTTACTGATCCTTTACCAAGATATAAGAATTACTTCAACAACTAAAAATGTTACTAAGTACATGTTATTACTGAGTTTAACCATTAATATTGATATACCACCTCACAATATTAATTTAATATTCATGATATAACTTTAGCATCACAATAGTACAGTGTAATTGCTGTGTGCTCTTTGGACAAGGAAGCTAAAGTCTCACCCTCCATAGAGGTCACCGTATAGTGATGGACCATTTAGGACCAGATTCCTTCAGGTCCAAATCCCAAATTCTTTGTTATTTGCAAAATATATACTACTACTACAAGTACAGATTTACTCCAACCATATTTAAGAAATGAAGATTTCAGCTTCTTGGGTTGTTCATTCTCTATAGAATATAGGTAGCAGGTTTTATCTTTTAACAGCTTCATTAAAGTGAATACCTATATATGCTTAATATATTTGAGAATACTTATTTGGAGATACTTAAAAATTTCTAGGAAAGTTTGCTTTTTGTTAGTATTCTTAGAAATAAGAATTACCCTATACCTGCCTCATTGCTTTCAGTGAACAATGAGCCTCAAAATTGACTTAATCCAACACAAGATCCAAATTAAATACATATTTTTAATGATAAAGTTAATTTAAAAATGTTTATGGTTGAAGTTTCTTAAGTCTACTTGCTCAAGACTTAAGTCAGCATGCAGAAATACAGTTTTTCAGTTTTTGTCCTTTTGAAAGTCTCAGGTTTGGATACCTTTTAGCTTTTTTGTTTTACATTTAACTTCTTAAAAAAAAAATACTAAGGAACAGAGCACCTAGGTGGTGCAGTCAGTTGAGCATACAACTTGATTTTGGCTCAGGTCATGATCTTAGGGTCCTGGGGTCAGGCTTCACACTGGTCTGCTTGGGGTTGTCCCTGTCCCGCTACCCCTCCCGCTCGTGCTTACTCTCTCTCTCAAATAAATAAATAAATCTTTAAAAAAAAAAAAAAAAGCCGAGGAACTATTTAAACTCAAAACAATGTTTTCTTTGCACTTTTTAAGTGTTCTGAATAAGGACAAAACCAGCATATCAAAATAATTTCTAAGTTGAATTCATATTTCATGCTCTTTAATTTTTATTTTGAAATAATCACATATATACAGAAAGTTACAAAAGTACTATAAAGTGGTCCCATGTGCCCTTCAC